GCTGCCCTGCGCGGAGGGGCCCCGGCCCCGGCCCGGCCCGCTCGGGGCTGGGCTCCGTTTTTACTTTAGGTTACTTATTCCATTTATTTATTTTTCTTTTCTTTTTTTCCGCGGTACTGGCAACTTTTTCTCCCCCGAACTCCACGTATTGTGATTAACTTCTTTTTTGGTCTTTAGATCTTCCCCTTTTTCACTGTACTGTGACACACGCTGTCTACCTCGCCTCACTGCTTTAAAAAGTAAGAACAGGAGGGGGTGAGAACTGTTAAACAAAGCCTACAGAAAGGGAACAATGGCCTCCATTCTGCTCCTCTACCCAAACCCCGAGTGCAGAAACCCAGGCTCCTTAACCGGCCGCGCAGCTTCCCAACTAAACGGACCAACAACCCTCCAACTTACAAAGAGCAGAGAAACAAGCCCCTTCTCCCTTCATTAGTGCCTGCCTTGACCCAGCGCCTGGACGGTCCCAATTGCCTTTTTTTCCTCCCCCTCTTCCTTCCCCTACTCCCTCTCTCCTCCCTTCCCTACCTTCCCTTCCCCCCCCCCGGCACTTATTTATTTATTTATTCATCCACACGCATTTATTTGAAATCCTCGCTGGTGAAAATGGAAAAGTAATTTCTCGTTATAAATATCTGGTGGTAATTGTGTTACTGGTGCGAGTTGTTAGGGGTTGTAAAAAGATACAACAGCTCAGTGGGGTGCTCAATTGGGGAGGGACAATTACAATAAAGAGCCCATTCAAGGGGGTTGCTAAAAAAAAAAAAAAGGAGGTAAAATAATGAAATAGTCGCAGCCTTCATTTTCTCTCTTTTTTTAGTCTAAAAATACTCATTCTCTTTCTTTTGCGCCTATAATGAATATTAATTTTACTCTTCCTGCATATGATGGAGAATTCAAAGAGGCACGTTCTCCCATTCAGGACTAGCCACGGTATAATTTATTAAGCAGCTTTTAGTAATCTTAAATCCATAAAAATAAACATCAAACAAGTACTTTCTCGCAGCATGAAGACTTTAACTGGTAAATATTTACTGCTCTTTGGAGAGCTACCTGATTAGCAGCAGAGCAAGCTACACTGTACTTCAATGGAGACGTGGCAGTATCTCCTTTAGCTGAACTGAACGTAAAGCCATCCCTTTAATACACCAAACACGTCTGCATAGACACACACCGAACGGAAAACCCACTTCTTCAGACAGAATTTGCTCACATATTTAATGCACAACTCATAAACGTGGGGCCTAGGGGGTTAAAGAAGCCATCCAGAAAGCCATTATTAAACTTCCAGCCCTCAGCTCTGCCAGCACGTACCTCAGAAATGACAATGAGTGGATTTAAAAGAAAAGAAAATCCACAAAATAAAACAAAAAACCCAAACACAACCGAAAACGTTTTACAATGCAGGGTCAGGGTAGCCAAGTACTTCAGCAAGGTAAGAAGAGGTGTGAGGAAAGAGAGCTAAGATTCTGCTTAGAAACTCTCTAATTACTTAAGTAATCAGCAAAACAAAACCAAGAGAAGTCAAACAGACCCAGCACCCGGAAGCAATATGATCACAAAATGGCATTCTCATGCCATAACCTGATGTTACTGATCCCGTGCACGGATTTGATAAATGTGCATATGCAGATCTGCATACACAGAGGCATGAGGAGAGCAGAAAACAGCGAGCTTTAAAGCAATGAATGAAATTCAATTTGCCGTGTCCTAGGAATCCAACTCGGTAGGCCAGGCCTAATCTGCAAGGCGTTTTCTAATCTCACAATCTTGATGTAATCTGACCGTGTTTAGGATTTTTTTTCTCTCCCAGTGAAAACATAATTAGATGTTAAGATGACAAACTTTTACATTCTCATGGCAAACGAGAGAAAGATAAAAACGAAACGCTTTGCTATTAAGCGTTAGTAAAGGTCACCAGCTATAAACATTTATTGTCAGGGGCCACTTTTATTATTTTATGTCCCTAAAGATAGAGAAGATGCAGTCACTTTTCTTTTGTAGAACGTTGTTATCGTTTTCCAAAGCAGCATCTGCCAAGTACATTTAATCATTCAGGAAACTTTGTTTTTAAACTTTCCAGAAATTGTTCCTGGCCTACGCGTGAATTTAACACCTCTTTACAAAGTATACAAGGTTAAATTCAAATCCAGAATTTCCAATTGCACTTGCGAGGGGAAAAGAATCAAGTTTATTGTTGTGCTTCAGAGGAGAAAATCTTTTTGCACAGCGAAGAGTTTGCAACTTCTTAAAAAAAAAAAAAAAGGCTTTGCTATATCGGAGGAGC